GATTATAAAGAGCACTTATAAGAGTTAGAAAAATGCTGACACAATAATACTCAGTTTCTTTTATTTTTTAATTTTAGTAGCATTGCAATCTAACCAGTGTGCATCCTTGAAAATCAACATGTGTATATACCACAGTAAATTCACCATCAAAAGTCAAGTTCTATCTCAGCAGTACAGGATGATTTATTTTATTGTTTTTCAATATGATGTAAATAGGTGAATTTATTGGGGATTTTCTTTTAATCACTGGAGTAGGCTCTGCATTTAGGAAGAGGCTTGTCCTTGCACTCATCTCATTGTCTTTCAAATTTAGAATCAGAGAGACATAATTTAACTTACACACATATCAACATTTTAAATAAAACACACCTCGTATTAGTTCAAAGTTTGCATTAAGGAATACTTGGCTCTTACCTTGAATACTTACAAGTAGGTCCAAGGGTGCAATTGACTATGTGGCAGTGACCAATAGATGCATTCAGTGCTTCTGGACCAGTTGGCTGAAAATTGAGTCTGAATAACTATAGTCTGTGTTCAAAGCACCAAATCAAGAGACACAATTTCCCCTTTTAAAGACATGCATTGGTACTTTTTCTCTTACATTTATTAGAAAGTAAATAGGACTTCCCATCTTTATTCAATAGTTTCAAGTCTCTTAAATTCAAAAATACTTTTCTTTTTATATAAATAATTACTAGTATTTATTATGAGTTTTAAAGAAGTATAAAAATAAAACATTTGGTTAAACATGCAAAACACAGCATTAGAAGCAGAATTGATTTGTTAGATGCATTTTAAATATTATTTTTTAGAATATTAAATTTTTGGCTATCATCTGACATTCATAGGAAGAAAGTTATTCTTTAGTAGGCAAGAGCACGAAATAAAGGTATCTACATTTTAAAATTTATATCCCTTTTCCAATTTACCTGTCATCTAACACTTTGGGGGAAAAGAGATAAAAGCAAAATCAAACTTTGCCTATCTGAACATAAAATACAAAACCCACGTTTTCATTATTGTGCATGGAACTAGATGCCATGGGCTAAAAGACAAAAAAAGTATATTTTGTGAAATTTTATTTTTATCCTTAAAGGGAAAGAAATGACCTAGTCAAATGAAATAGGGATCACTTAAATTTTATGAGGAAGAAAATATATACCACACTTTAGTGAGAAGACTCTGTTACAAGTGTAATGTGATTCCATTGTCTACTGACTACATAATGTTGCAGAATTGTGTATCATATTCCCTCAGGTAACTATTTATATAAATTGGTACAGTTCCCGAGCACAGAGAATAAGAGGTTGAGGAGTATTGCAGGCAAATGAGTGGATCTCAATCAAATCTGCCACCAAAACATAATTTTCTTTAAAACCAGAACACCTGTACTTCAGAACTAAACTTAAAATCAAATTAGAAACTCTTATTCTAACAGTGCTTCCAAATAACGGAACACTTGAAATATATCCCTTTAATCTCCATGAGTGGTCTGTTATTATCCAACAATAGTGCTATAAAAAGTACACGTGGATTATGAAGAAATTAAACCTTTATTAAAAAACAATTACAACACTTAATAGATAAACAGCTTGCTTCAGGGAGAAAGTGAACTCTTCCAGGCTTATTTACCTTTTCATCTATACAATTCACATCCAAACTAAGCATAAAATTGGTACTAGAAAGAAATTATGTTATTGCATAGTTAGTAATAACACCAAGGAAAATATAACCATCTTTCTTCCCCAGTTTTCAAAGTTAAAAATTAATTGTACAAATGTTCCTGCTGTGTAAAAAAACCATCAACATCTCCTGACAGGAAAGGAGAATTGATGTAATTGATGAGATTAAGAAAAACAGGTGTTACATTAAAAAACTAGCAACAACAAATGTTGGCGAGGGTGTGGAGAAAAAGGAACTCTTCTGCACTGTTGGTGGGAGTGCAAACTGGTCCAGCCACTAAGGAAAGCTGTGTGGAGATTACTCGACCTGCTAAAGATGGATCTTCCATGTGATCCAGCAATTCCACTCCTAGGTATCTACCCAAAGGACACAGAAACATCAATTCCAAAGAGCACCTGCACCCCTATGTTTATAGCAGCACTGTTTACAATAGCTAAGCTTTGGAAACAGCCCAAATGCCCAAAAATAGATGACTGGATCAAGAAGATGTGGTACATATACACCGTGGAATATTACTCAGCATTCAAAAAAGATAAACACATGCATTTGCAGCAACATGGATGGCGCTGGAAGGGATCATGCTCAGCGAAATAAGCCAGAAAGAAAAAGAAAAATACCGGATGGTCTCACTCATAGCAGGAATCCAGAAAACTTAAATAAGGGACCAGGAAAAAGAATAACTATAAGAAAGTGAAAATCAAAATCAACAAAAAACTATGAACCAGAGACACTTTATGGGGGGTGGGGGGCGGGGAGGGGAGGGATTGGGGTCAAAATAAGGGGATTTCAATTCTATGGGGAATATAAAAATAAAATTTATTTAAAAAAAGAAAAAACAGGTGTTAAAGACTCAAAATAAACAATATGGGAGGTTGGGGAGGGGACGGAGGAAAGAGAGGAGAGATTTGCTTTAGTTTGAGTATCATTAATGCAGGCTCACTGGCATCCACATCAAGCTGAATATATTTTCTTTTCTATCAAATAAGAAAAAGTCCTCAATCCATAAGCAAGTAACATAATTAGCTGTTATGTCTTTCATTCCACTTTAGCCAAGAAGTATTTTTATTTACTTTTCCCTTTTAATCTAGGTGCAGTTATCTAAAATTGGTTCATGAAAGGGACAGAAGACATGACTGTCTCTGGGGAACTTCAAATACATCTACTGCACGCAGGGGATGGGAACGTGAAATGAAGAATCTGCGCACACGTTGAGCCATTTAAAACTTTTTCATGTAACTTTAAAATCTAAACTTTAATTAAATGCTGCCCAGAAACCAGCATTCTTTTCTTCAGTTATGGCAACCTATTGTTAATGAAAATACACACTTTATACTTTTCTAAAAAGTGTGCGCAGAAAATGGCACGCGCCATGGCAGCCGCTCTGGGCACCTTTTCTGCGCTCAACACCGTGGGCTGCTCCGCCACGTGGAAGATTTTCAACCCGGGAGCAGGGTTTGCATACCCTGGGCTACATTTTGAATAACGCATTTGTCCAGATTTCCCCTCCACGTCGTATCTCTTCAACCAACCAAACCAGACACGTCCACGCCGTCCCGAGGCGGCGGGAGGCGGCCAGGATGCGGGGCGTCCACACCCGCGCCGCCGGCGGGTTCAGGCCGGCGCGCGCCTTGGCACCAGCACATGAAATGGTTTATTATTTAAGTGTAATTTTCTTGACTCGCCTGCCTGTGACCCACCTGCGCCGGCTGCCCTCGGGGGACACGCTGGGTCCGCGGAGTCCCAGCGCCCGCCGGTGCGTACTTACAGTCTCCAGGCAGCAGATCCCCCCACGGGGCTCCCCCATCCTCAGCCTCACTGATGCCGGCGGAGGCGCTTCCCGGCTGCTGGACAGAGTCCCCCGGCCACTCCCCGGCCCCGGCCCCGCTCTCCTCGCGGGGGGCGCGGTGGCCACCGCAGGCGCGCAGGGAGGGCGGGAGCTGCTCGCTGTGCTGTGCACGAGGCCCTCCTGGAGACGCCTGAGGTGCCCCCCAGGAGGCGCCCGGTCCAGGAGGGCCCCCTTGGGGAGCAGGAACGCACCGTGGTGCCCGGCTCCTGGCGCGTCCTCGAGCACCCGCGCCCCGCAGCTACCCGCGGGCCGCGCCCCAGCAGGTGCGCAAGGGCCGTGTCTGCAGCCCCGGCTGCAAGTGGGCCTGGAAGCAGGACCCGGCCAGGCCGCGGGCAGCGATGCTCAGGGCAGCCCGCGGGGCTGACCCCAGCCGCGGTCTGGGCTTGGAAACCTGATTTGTCTTTCAAGTGTGGGGGTTTCCGACTGACTAGGGCTGTGGGGGCCGCGGGGTTCCGTGTTGCTCGCTAAGTTGATGAAATAAAATAAATAGGCCAGAGATGGGGCCGGTCCAGGGGGAACGAGTCAGGGGCCTGGAAGCCAGACACGCCCCAGCGCGGAGAGAAACCTGGACACCGGGCCCCACCATGGCTCCTGCAGAGGCTGTGCGTGCTCCGGGGCCATTAAAAATTAATTTGCACGTGAGTTATTGATAAACGATTTATTTATAATGCGTTCTAGACTATCAGTAACCTTCCAAGTCATTGCCATTGGGTCCTCCACCAGCGCAGGCTGGGGCAGAGGTGCGGCTGCCACCAAGGACCAGCTTCCTCTGGGAGGCACACTGCGGGGACCTGCTGCCCCTGGGGGCGCCCCTGGCTGGCTGGGGCCGGTCAGCTTGGGGCCAGAGCTGGGGTTTTCACTCCTTGTCATGCACTGTTCAAAAAGGACTGCAACACTCTCCCCCTGTCTACATGGAGACCATCCACCATGCAGCGTGTCCTTACCTCTCCCCGAGCTGCCAGGGGACAGGACATGCTCATGGGTTGACCTGGGATGCACCGACATTCCTGTCGACGCATGAGGGCGAATATAGAATAAACGTTTCATAATGTGATATGACAGGAATATTTTCTTTTAAATAATGTACACATTTTCTGGTCCTTTTTACATTTTGTGTCCATATATGTGACTATTAAAAAGAGGTCAAAAAACATTCCCTAAAAATGAACCATGGAGCTAGACAATTACACAGGCAGGAATAAGAACCTTCTGGAAAACAACCTTAGTGAATGGCAGAAGTCTGAAGCACGCTGAGTTTATTATTCATACCTTTGAGGAATTAAAGGCATATGAAGGGGGCTTTTCTTCATAACTGAGCACAGGGAAACACAGAACCAGAGACCACAGTGAAAAATGAGATATTGAATGCCTGACATCAGTTACCTAGATTTACTTTTATTACCTTGTCTGACTTAGGTGAATAATATAATTCAGTTAAAGGAATCTGTAGTATAACCTAAGAGACTCATTAACAAAATTACTCAGGATAATTCTATATGAACAAAGGACTTCAGATTTATTGAATAAGATTATTTATAAAAACATATTTCTGGCAATTTTAACATTGCATTTCATTTTGTTACTTTCTTTAGCTCTTAGGAGGGGTATTGGAAATACTAATTAAATGGATAAGAGGTTTATAGGTAAGTCTAATTTTTGAATTCTTTCATCTTCTTAACAATTTCTTGGCGGGGAATCTTTGCCATGAGTGTGAGCACAGCAATGACCAAAAAGCAAATATGCAGTAGACAGGACACAGAAGCCAGCTCACTCCCTGGCCTTAGGCAACCCTAAAACGCTTCAAATCATGTACATTGAGGATTCAGATAATTTAAAAAATTTATTTCCAGGGGAATCTGACAGAATTCATTGTCATCACTGAAACATACAAACTCCAAAATAAGGTAAAATCTATCATTTATTTTACCACCAAAACGTCAATCATTTGTCATTACTCTAGTAAAGAAAATAGGAACCAGTATCACATTTTGAAATTGATTATGATATTCTAAGGTCGAGAAAAACTCACTTGTGGAATTTTTTAAAAAGCTATCAAATTTGAGGAAAACCCACATTTTAAGGAAAATGATAGAAAAGCTCGATATATAGTTTAAGAGAACATTCAAGTAAGTTCGAAGACCAAACTTCATTAAGCACTGAGAACAGAAGTTTATGGAGTCAGACACGCTCAGACATTTGTACTGGAAAAAAATCATGTGAGACAGAAAAGCCAGTCTCTCCACTAGATGTGCTGCTCTCCATTTAAAGTCCAAAGACACTGACCTCCTGTTCTGTTTATAGCCACATTTTGATTAGCTAATCAAATGGAAGTTAATTATGACAACTTAAATATTATATATGTTGATTTTGAAATCTGATGTATAAAAATTGAATGTTTATAAAATCAGGTACAAAAAAATCACCTTCCCAAATCAGCGTGCCAGGCTTGAATTGAACAATGAACAAGCACTTGGATGAAAGTAAAATGCTTAATTTAGGGCTTCCTAAGTGCTGTGTTGGATGATGTGCCTCCCAGATTTTTGGAAGTAAATTCTAACACAGAAAGAAAACAAAAACAGCTATTTTCAAATTAACTTACATAGTATTTATACATTATTGAAAAACATCTTATGGAATTAATAAAGCACTTGTGTACGTTTGGAATTCACTTTATCAAAAAATATAATTATTTATCAAAATAACATGAAACATCTTGAAATCTTGAAACATTTCATTCCTTACCTACTCAGGTCTCCCCATTTGAATGTAAACCACAAATTGACATGGAGTCGGTCAATAGAAGTTTTTAATGCGTTGATTGATTTCAGTCTCATGGAGCCAAACTTCCCCAACATCCAGTGTCGAGACCTACTGTCAACAAGGTGCCTCCCTGCCCCAGCATGGCCACTATTTTGTCTTCTGATTTGCCAGTGTCCACTGTTAGCTACCCTTGGTGCTGTCACTGAGACCACCCGAATGAAGACATTTGAAATAGTTTTGTTTTCCCATCGAGCTATTGCACGGTAGATATATGTAAGCTCTCTACTTTTGTCATTATAGTTTGATGTTTTAAGAGTCTCCATTAGAGGATTTCTGGTGCAATTTGCAATGAACCAACAGGTCAGAAGAACCAGTCGGAAGCCCTGTCGATAGCTCTAGGACAGTGAAGGTTCAGGCGTCTCTAATTTATTTTCCCTGTTTCTTTTGTTCTTCTAAGCCATGTAGATCACACTTTTTGGTGATTATTAATTCAAGGTGTAAAGATTTCTGTATATAGAGAAAATAATTAAACAAATGGCGAATCACTTCAAAACATAATCTTTGACTACATTAACTTTGAATTAAAGGGCGATCAAGGCAGTATGGTAATGAATAAACCACTCAAATAAAAAAGTCTCCATTTTAACAGAAGCAACGTGTATAAAAATATGTAGCAAAACAATGAAAATAATCTTTACCATGTTCAAAATTTTGTTCTTCAGTTGATCAAAATTATGGAAGTAGTTATTTCAGTGGATTGACAATTGCTTCAATATAGATTATTCAGAATTGCTATAATAAATCTTTAAATTTTCTATCATCAAATTTTATTTTCTTTCCCTTTTGTTTCTACAATACATGTGAAACTGAATTCTTAACAAAGAGGTATGTGAGGACACAACTGTAGAGTAAGGTCTGGCAAGCCTGGGCAAGTCACAGGTTTGAACTCTCATCCGCTGGACGGCTTTGCTGTCAGAACGACAAAATGCCGTAGAACTCAGCAGAGTTTTGGAAACACAGGGAGGCAGATTTACAGTCCTTCTGGTTTGAAAAATTTATTTTCTAAGAATATACACTCAAAGTTTTAAAAGTTCTCCCTCCTAAATCAAACTGTATAGAGTCTGTGTACAACTCGATAGCAAAGATAGGATGTGATTTTACTTTCATTAATTAAACCATAACTGGTGAGCTTTTGGGGAGCATATGTGTGCGTGAGTGTTAGTACAACTCAGAACTGTGTAATGGGCTCATCCAAGAGACTGAATTTCAAGCACTTAAAAAGACTTTCCCATCCTAAAAGGAGAATCTATTTCATAAAATCTTAGAAATCAAATTTTTGGAGAAGTAAGCCTCAACAGGAAGGGACAACCTCTACCCTCACAGGTGGGAAGAGTTGATACAAAGTGTGTACGCAGGTAAGCCAGTTTTCTCTCTCTCTCTCTAATGGAAGAAAACATGTCTCTTTACTCAAGTTAGGAAATTATTATACATTTTTATATATCTTTATATAAAAAGTTACAAGTAGCAAGCATAGGACACAAGAAATGGAAGAGTAACAGCAGTATTGGGGAATGCATGCTTTGTACAATGTGTCTAATAAAAAGGGCATTTTTTTCCCAACTCAAATATCCATTACTGACATGCAGGGTGTTTTCTCAAACTGTCAATTCAGTCATATTGCTAAATGCTTAACCAAAACCAAAACAAAACAAAACAAAAACATTTCTATTGAAGGGTCGGGATGGTTAAATACCTGATTTCAAAAACTATTTCTGAAACTCAGTATCTTCCTTTGATGTAAAACAGAAAGGAAACTGGGGGAATACAGGAAAGACCCCAAATGAGATTTTTTTTTTCTTATTGCCATCCAGTCCCTTTCCTCATTACTTCTGGTTGCATTTAATCATGACACAACGACAGATGTTTATAGTCCATAAAACCTCGAGCTGGTGTTTCCAAGGTCCATAGATTCACCTTTCCCGTGGCATGTTCAAGATCCCTCAGGAACCACCACTGTTCCCAATATATAGTCTATATAATGAAAACAACGCACATGTAATGCACAGCTCATCCAAAGTCCTGTCTGCTCACATATCACACCAGGTACAATTATCGAACAAAGACATGAAACAACATAGAAGCCATGTGAAACCGACAGTAAAGAGAAAGTTGGGATAGTCTTAATCAGGAACTAATTTCTTCTTCAAGTTTCCAGTAAATCTCAAAATGTATTTAAAAACTAAGGAGCACTTGGTGGCCAGCAACCAAATTACGAAATGAACATATCATTGTGCAGCAGGAATGTCTTGCCGAAGGAATAACAAATGTCTGTGATTCTTAAGTTTGGATAAAGGCAGTGGAATGAATTTAGAAATACGTCCACTTTTCACAACTCACTATAGAATTTTCTTTTCACAGTCCCCATGTTTGAATAAATAGTTCTTCTCTGAAAATAAAACACAGTTAAAACATTTTCTCGCAATGAAAAACGCATACAAATACACCAGTTAGTCAAGATTATATAGAGCATGGAAAAGCATTCACCTAATTCAAGAATAGTTGATAGGCTTGCAGAGTTTTGCAGAGATTAGCTGTCAAGCAAATTTAATTGGAGACAAATGAGTCTAACAGATTTTATCAAGCGCTAAAAGTAAGTCATTATGGTATCTGATGACAGATAGATGTGCACACACACACATACACACACACGACTGGCACTGACAGAACATTTTATATTCTCAAGCATTCAAATTTTATATCATAAAATTTGACATAACATGCTGAATTTAATTTTGGAGAAAGAAGCTGTAATTCATGCAAAAATAAAGAGCACCTGAACCATGTGTAACTATCAACAGTACTTAGTGTTTGAGTTTTGAGTTAAGTCAATAAAATTATTACCATTTTATATACTGCCTTCAGCTATATTAAGAAAATGCTCATTTTTTACTATGAAAATCTTGGATTTCTTCTGGTATTTCCTTGAAGAGTTCACTAATTTTTGTGTTTTTACCTTAAAACATAAAATTTAATAGAATAACATCCTCTTTAACAACATTGTAGCACAATGCTTGATGGCAAGAATATTAGTGTTTGTTTCAAAGCTATGGATGGTAAGAATCATCCTTCCATCAGCATTGCATCATTATATTTCTAATTACAAGATGCTATGAAACCCATGACCTCAAGAGATGATGAATAAATACCATGGTCCCTAAAAAAAATTACAAGACAGTTGCAACAGAACAAAACAAAACAGAAAACAACAAGGCGGGAGAAGGAACCAAGGGCATCGGCTTACCTGGAATTTTCTCTCTAGACCCTAGTTGTGTTGTATTCAGATTCGTGTTTGCTTAGAGACCCAATGAGGCAGAACCTGGAATGTTATGGCTATTTCATTCAACAAAGTCATATTTTGCACATAAAATAAATATGCACACATATATTTACTGAAAAGCATTCTTAAAAATTCATCAAACTGTGGAAGTGGATTGTTTCCATTCACATGCAGAAAAAATATTAAATCAGCTAAGAATATTTAAGGTTTTGAAGAGGTAAAATGAATTGAGAACGAAAGTATGTTTATAAAACAAATAAACGCTAATAAGCATGCAAAACAAGACATTAGTGGACTGGGTTTGGAATTTAGAACAAATTTATTTCTAACGTTAAAATATCCTTCCTCAAAGTTTTTACTGACTTAGGACTAATAATAATAATACTCTACAGATAATATATTGTCTTGTATGAAAAGGGAAATGAACCAAATGCTTCTACGAATCCTTGCTTCATTTAAATATAAAGGTTTAGTATTGTAGCAAAGCATGCTGTCCTATGCAATTGGTAGTATAAATATTATGTGAAATGTGGAAAAAGTATTTTCATTTTCATACCAAAAATATGCTATGTTGCAAAATATGTCATCTTTACATGACATTGCTCAGCAGGATGGGTTAACCATCATGGTAAGGCAGCTGTCCCCAAATGTCATTTCATATCTTAAGTATATAAATATTGTTGGGAGCCACCTTCATGAGCATGTGTAAAAAAGTGCCATGGACATTAAAATCATGTTTTTGGTAGAAATAAATATTGCCTATGTGTGGTAGTAAATGAGGTGTGTCTTTGGTCTGCCTGAGCGCACATCCCTCTGCAGGTAGGCGGGACTTAGCAAGAGGATGGCTGGTGCCAGGGAGGACACGGTGAGCCACCATGCTTTCAATCATTAAGAAGAAACTGAACTATGAAGACACAATGGAACATTCTGGAAGCATTTCAGTCCTCAGGTTATAGTTGTCATCAAAAACCCTAGGGATACTGACCGCTGGACGGCTTTGTCGTGTCGGGACAGCCTGTGGCTGGTGGTGGGCACCTCTTCAATCTCATCAATGTCACAGGCGTCGGCCGCGTCCTGCGAGTAGTTGTGTTTCATGACGAGAATGTTCCTTCGGTTCATGGGTGGGATGAGGGGCTTGACGGGCTGAGGGGGCATCTCAGTCAAGACAGAAGCATCTCTTGTGCTGAGGTTGCTGCGGCTGCCTTTCGTGCTGGACAGCTGGGATCCACAGTGATGGTCGTGAACGCATTTGGAGGAAGACCTGCGCAGTTTATGGTAGCTCTCCAAGTCGTCGGGCACGTCGGCGAAGTCGGCCGCGGCTCCCGGGCCTCTGAGCGTGCACAGCTCGTAGTGTGGAGGCTCGAACACCTCCTGGAAAACTGTCTGGTCAAAGTCCGATTTCCTTTGGACGTATTTTTTACGAGGCTGTTTTATCTGCACGATGACAGAAATGATAATAAGGATGATGACAATGCAGGAGGTCACGCCGATGACAGTCCCGCTGGTGTTGGTCAGCTGGTCCAGCAGGCTGGTTTTCCTCTTCTCTACAGGCGGGGGAGTGCAGAGAAGAGACAGAAGAGATACACCCGAGTTAACGGTCCGCTCAGAACACAGGTGGACAGCTTTAACATGAAGGTGGAGGTGCGGAGCATTTTTACAGGCTCAAAGGAATCGAAACAGGTATGTTAAAATGAAGCACAAAGATTCCATTTTCACAAGGGCCAGGTCTCCTAGCCTAGCCGTGACCCTCCAGGGCCCCGCAGCCCTACTTTAAAGGTTCATGTGTGTTTGCAAAAGGGTTCCTAAGACACCTCGCATGACACCTGGGGATCCACTGGTTAGAAACACTGAATTCAAGTTTGCTACTGCTGTGATCTGCCAAAGTGCTTAATATGATTTCAGCCTCTTGAACTTACTGCTATTTGCTCAACATCACTTATCATCAGGGAAATGCGAATCAAACCCCAGCGAGATGCCACCTCACAGCCACGAGAAGGGGCGATAGCAAAAGGACCAGAAACAAGGGCTGGTGAGGATATGGGGGAACAGGGGACAGAGGCAGGTGTGGCAGGAAGCAAAGCTGCCTCAAGCGGCCCATTCTCCTCCCCGTGGGCCTGCAGGTCCTGTTAGGCGACATGCTTCACAGGCATTCAAGTGTTCGGGTGACCCGCTGCAGTCATGGATGGGGACACTTCTGGTCTGGTCACAGCCCGGCTGAAGGCAGAGAAAGGCTTCCAAACCGATTCCAAAACAGGCCCGAAAGTTCATAAAAGCCTCTAACGCCTCTACCTTTAAAACTGAAATATAATAATCACTGGCATAAATTTCCATCCCACCCTACAGACACAGGGATTTGGCAAATTTTACGGACTAATCTTTACCTTTACAATGATTTTCATCCCAAGGATACACACAGTTCTGGAGTCCATTGCACACCAGCGTGTTGTTAATACACATGTTACTATGGCAGAAAAACGTATTGCCCTCACAGGGAGCTGGAACCAAGAAGAAAGAGACAAAAAAGTTATAACTGATGCTAGGTAGCAAATGACATTACAAAGAGGCTAGAATGATAATTTGTCCTCATGCTGAGATGAACAACCCAGTCTTTTCCCAGATGTGTTGCCGTAGTGATGATTATTTCCTGGGGGATGAACAGAGCTGGCTGGCCTGGGGTTTTCGTTTGCAAAAGTGAAGTGCATTGTCAATACTGCTGCTTCTTTTACTTTGCTACATTCATTTGGCAGAACTTAAGTGACTACATGGATAATGTTATGCTTCATGCATAAATTTTGTATGTATAAATTCAGTTTTATTGTGCAAAAAGAACTTTGAAAAGGACATGCTTTCAACATATTAATGAAGGTTATATTAACTAAGCTATACAATAAACAAACTCTGAAACAGTATTTAAGCATGTGGGAAAAAAGCTAAGAACCTAAATTTTTTGGGGAAAGCTAACCTCGAACAACATAAAAAAGAAATGTATTATGCTCATCAACATTTAACATCTACCCGGTGATGAAATTAGCCTACTTTGCATATTATTTACACATTGTAATCAGTTTAGGTCTAGTGGACTGTGATAGCTTTCAATGTATGTTTCTGGCTCTAGGAGGTAAAATAAGGAAGGCATGAAATTTGGTTATGTAAATATGAGAAATAGTGGCTAGCTTAAAGTAGCAAAGTAAAATGATAGGTATGACTTCAATATTAGGAAAATACATTTCTTTTTCAGAGTAATAGAATATTTATGATAATCATGAGGGATTATCGTTTATAGACAGTGCTTTAAAGGTATTTTTTGTTTTTACCTTTCTAATCATCCCATGGATCTCATAAAATGCAATTTTATTGATTTTTTTTAATAATAGTTCTGTGACCCTTTAAAGGATAGATATTCTAAAAGAGCATTATTATATGCAAAGCACATCATTTACAGTGGTTAATCAACCAGGAAAGATTTAATGGTCAAGAGCATCTACACATTGCATGCATTTGTAATGAATTTTTCACCTTAAAAACTATATGCTGCAGGTATTTTAGAAAGTTACCATTTTTAGTGTATTTAATATATTAATCTGAGCTGGCAAGAAAATACCCTGCAGAAAGCCTTTTGGTATAATTTAACATGGCGAAAGAAGTTCTTTTCCAAAGAAACCATAACAATCAAGTCTTGAACACCCATATTAGGGCAAAGATTAGCTCAAGCAAAGTAATTCCTTCTGGTCTTCAAGTTCCCTCCCCACCCCCCCACCTCCACCCTCTTTTCCCAAGAGAACAGTTTCTTCTTCCCTCTGGGTCCCTGGTTAAAGAGTAAAACAAACAAACAAACATGTAATTGTTGTTTAAAAGTAGGACAAAAGGTTGAAAATATGTGTCAGTCATGATGAAAATGATCATGTTCAACACTTTACTGGGCTGGTGACCTTAAGCGTGTGTAAACCACTTTTACTGTAAACTGTGATGATGGATCTGTTACTGCAAACTTCTGCTTTTTAGGAAGTACCCAAATTTGAATCTCTGTGGTCAACCGTAATAGTTTTTGTAGAACTGATATGGTCTGTTAAGCGGATAATAAGTGTTGTCAAAAAATGTGTATACAGGCCAAAAGGGGAGTTTTTGACAAATGGATGAGAATGGCTACAAAACGCTTTAATAAAAGCTAGGGAGAAAAAAAAAAAAGCCCTTCAATTACCTAGTAAATTGTGGTGATTTTGAAAAATACAATTATCCATCAAGTAAAGACTATCTTTAAAGAATCATAAATATTTATCAACTTTCCCAAAAGTTGGAAAAATCATTATAATTAATGTTAAACAGGATGGGTTAGTAGAAAATTAAATAATGTGAAGTGTAATACCAGTAGTAAGATGGTAAGAGCACAGGGATTTGAATTCTAAATACTCTGATTATAATTTATTTTTGTTTCAACTGCTGAGTGGTTGTGAAAATGTCTACACTCAATCAACATGTGAGTCTCCATATCATTAAATCCTGGCGGTTTAACCAGCAAACAAATCTGGCCATGGTTGAGGAACAAATGTGGAGACACTTAAACATTCTGAACATAAATGCATTTAGTTTCATGGACACCAAAAGTAAAACACACTGAATTCTGGATTTCCTTGATTTTGTGTCTAGCTATTTCTCAGAAATGCACATATGCCATGGCTCAATTAAAGATTCTGATTTCTCTTTCCTACAGAGGCTTCCAGGCGCTATTGAAACCACATCACAACAGTATTGTGTATGCAGTTTTGAAATATTATTCCGATATACCAGAAAATTCTTTTTCTTAAATCCTGTTTGAACGTACAACTTTAAAAGAGTTTAACCCTTAGTAAACTACCATTATCTTTTCTTACAAGTTCTTTTAATTTTTAATCTCTCAGGTGGCTCAGCAATCTAAGGCTTAGAGAAATATCCAACTGATATTTTTAACTGATTAAAATGTCTTAATCAAAGGTTCACCCTGGCCAGGCTAGCTACTAGCCTATCCCAGGGAGCAGGTGTGTTTATTTGTGGAGAATTAGCAATCCAAGCCACGGCCTCCAAACACATTACATAGTGCGCGAGTCCCAGAAATGAAATCTCAGCATTATTTCTTTGGCTCTTTTACTCTTGCTGAGAAAGCACATACTCCACTAATTTGTAGAGGATTTGTTCCACTTAAAAATTCAATACAAATTGTCAAAGACTATTACCTCTTAAAACCAGTCTCCTTATATCCTAAAGTTACCTAAAAGAGAGTCAAGCAGAGTGAAGATTTGCTTACAATAAAGTGGCAGCGAAGAAATACTCAGAATTCAGAGCACTTCTCAGGCCTTCCACAACCAGAAGCACCAACTTCTCCCTGGAATTGGTCTTCAGTTGCTCTCAGAACAGCCCAGCCTCACAGCAATACCAACCCCGAAGTACGCAGGGAGGGCTAATGGTCAGCGCTTTTTGTGTCGAATATTTGTGTCTGTAGACAAAGGGCTCTGAACTTATGTGTGGAAAGAAAAACCTGCAGCAAGTGTCCATTTTTTTTTTTATACCAAGTACATAGTAAACACACCTTTCTCTCTAAGAGGCTTCCTGAAATGAAGACTTCCTAAGTTAATTTTCTAAAAAACAGAAAACAGAGCTTACGCATATTAAACACATGGAAATGCAGACCTTCATACGTGCTCTATTACCTGGTGGGATACTTAGATGTAAAAGCTGTGATTTTCCTACATTCATGGGTTAAGAAGACCATGAAGACAGCATGTGTGTTCCAACACTACATTGTAAAGAGGGATATTCAGACCCCAACTTGGAGAACCAAATCCAGGGAGTAGAGAATAGATCTTGGGCTCCATTAGAAAGGCAGGAGTTTTTCTGAAGTTTTTAGTGATTCTATAAAATTGAGACTTGGGTAAAAGTGGCACGTTTTCCTACAGCTGTAGTGAAATTTTCAAAACAGAGAAATAGAATACACAGATCCAGAGCTTGAGATTATAGATAAGTGGCAGAGGCTCAATTTTAACTTTTAATTTGAAATATCTTCAGTGACTGTCCAAATACTTCAGAAAAGTCTTTGGTAACTCACAACTTAATGCAACATTTTCCTCTGGTGTATCACACCCATAAAACTCAATTTTCTCTTTCATATTCTAACTACTAAAATAATACTTTTGTGCAACACTTATACTTTATTTTTTTTTTACTATTTTTTAAATAATAACTGAACTTAGTGTTCATGGAATATCACTTTTCTATCGGATTCTACGTTTAAATCTTTACATGTTCCCATGCTGACCACTAGGTGGTGGGCTTGCACTGCTTGTCCGTGAAGCTGGAACCCTACAGGCACCTGGTATCAGGGAATTTTATGTATATTTATTGTTGATTCTTAAGAAATAAAAAAAAATTAGCAGCGATAATCAAAAGCGTTTTTAGTAAACATGAGTTAGATAAGAGAGAAAGCATAGCAACCACAACAAAGTTTTATTTAAAATTTTAATTAAAAAAAAAATCATAGACCATGCTACAATGTTAAAGGTCCGATCTTAACCATCTTCAGGATTGTGTCACAGGTTGTACAGATGATTGCTTGGGGCTTAATTCCAATTCTGCAATTAAGAGGTTTTTAGTTTATAATTCTAAAGTCACTAATGCTCCTTCTAACTACTGTGTGATCTCCTTTCTCCCTCCACCCCATTTTATTTATTTTTTATTATTTTTTTAATATGGAACACATCACGAAGTCATGTGTTATCCTTGCTCAGGGCCAAGCTCATCTGGTCTATGTCATTCCAATTTTAGTGCATGTGCTACTGAGGCGAGCACCCCATTCCATTTGAAATCCAGAACTCCACTAAATAAGACTCAGGAAACATTATAAAATGGAAATAAGAGCCAGCATTTTTCTCTCTGATGCACTGACACTCAGATGCCTGTGGTCTGGTTCCCCAGCAGCCACTGCAGAGCAGCGCAAAGTCAAAGAACATCACACTTCATCAAGAACTCTGGAAATAAAAGTGGGTCTTGAGTCTGTTTTCTATTTTAAAACTCAATATATTATCTAAATAGCTGCCTGGGGCCAAGTTCAGGTGCTGCCCTCAGGCCCTCCAGCTCTACCCAGACTCTGCTTTTTCCACACATCCTCCTGGCGGCCCTCAAATTCCTTTAATGTCTTTGATTCAAGATTTGTCAGAAGCTCAACCTCCCCTTGCTCCATGCTGGCCTGTGTGGGCACATCTCTCTCTCTCTCTCTCTCTCTCTCTCTCTCTCACACACACACACACATACACACACTCACATGATCACACACTCAGATCCCCACAGTCTCACAGACACACTCATACTCATGCACACTCAAGCGCACGCCCGGTGTCTTTGGGTCTTCTGCTTCTTTTTTATTGCTGGAATTTCCTCAGCCTTAAATGGACTGGAAAGTGTCACACACGTGCAGAGAAGAGGCTTTGACACGGAGCCTCCCATTACCTGCCCTCACTTCATGCCTCAAATTCAGGTTTTTTTTTTTTGTTTTTTTTTTTTTTTTTTTTGTGGGGCCCTCGCCGGTGGCTGGGGATTGAACCAGCGCTGCAGGGGCTGCGGGCAGCTTCGCAACCCAGCGCTCAACTGCTGCGCTATCAGGGTGGCCCCGAATTCAGCTTTTATCAGCCTGAAGGCGCTGATTATTTCAAATTTCCTGACACTCAAGATGCTCTCCTGTCTGCTAGTTTCTTTGCCTGAGAGATGGAACAAAACTTAAATAATTACATAAATAATTACAAATATGTAAATATAACACTTATCTAGAGTGCAAATGCCTGACAGCAGAACCCAGCATATTTGAAAACTCAGTCACTTAGACGTGTGATAACTGGGTCCACCCGGGGGGATAAAATGGGCATCCCCTGCCCGCTCAGGCCCCTCAGCCCACGTGTGCGGACCCTGTCCTCAGCCCTAAGAGGCCCTTCTCTCTGCCCACCCCCTCTCCTGGGGGAGCTTGGCCAGACCCAGAGTTTCTACACCGTCTTCTTAGGGGCTGCGCTGCCCGGGACTCCTGCCCGGCTGGCATTTATACCACACAGACCAATTCCCCCGAGGGCCCACTAGGCTTCCAGCTGCCACCTCAGGGGGAACACGGCTGAACAGGCTGACTGGGACGGCGATCACCCCAGCACCCTAATTTGTAAGGAATATCTATACTTCTCTCAATGAACTTCATGGGAAAAATGTCTTTACATCAGCTGTCAATGCTGAGCAAGCATCCGCAGATGCAAAGACTTCCCAACTGGATTTAAAAACGTATCGTCTGCAGCTGAATGTATTTTAACAGTGGTTTTCTAATCACAGAAAAAGACGCAAGAAAAATATCAAATGCGTTTGACCATCAGAACTGCTTCCAAAATAAATGTTTTGTTTTGTTTCATTTTTCCTAAAATCAATGGGAAAACTGCCCCTCGCCAAACTACGCCTCCCACGACCCTCCAGTAGCAACGGAGGGAATGACATTTGATATGAAAAATGTCGACCAGATTTGAGGCCAGAAATAGATTTTTCCATCTCCTTTATCATCTTCACACACTTTTTTGAAAAATCAATATCTGCTCCCAAAACCTGTGTCCCGGAGTGACTGAGTTATCTGTCAAAATATCCAGCATTGTCAAGTGAGATAGTCCCTCTTTTTATCATGCAAGATATTGTATTCACAGCCTCAATTTGATCTCATTCATATTCATTAGATGCCCTAAACTTTCTCTTAACATTGCATATTCTTCCTGTTCCTAGGACATCATACTAAGGAAAGAGAAACAGCTTCAGGAGAAAATTCTATTCCTTCTATACAGGCTGTTTCCTTCATAGGACATGAACCACTTCATGATTTATCCATTCCAAGAAATTACTATACAGTTTTATACTATGATTAGATCTGTCTTGGATCAGCTAAGAGGTGATTTATTCATTGTATGTACTGAGACGTGACCTTAATTACAAAAGGATACTTCATTTCTTTGGGGTCTGACTCCAATTATTAGCAGGACTTGACCAGGTGGCCCAGAGTTTGTTTTCATGGCCGATGCACACATATCTGCTAGAATTGGATATTTGAAACCTTAACCCAACTCCTGTTCTGGAAATGACTATATTTGGTTTCATGATTGAACATTCCAACTCCGCAAGTAAGGACCTGGCAATAAATAAAGACTAGAGTCAGCACATACAGACCCCATGACCTCCTCATGTGTGGTTGCTAGTTTGAAGGCTCACAATTCGTAGTGAGAGTCCCTTTCCAAACAGTAAACACAGCCTGCCCATTTTCAGTGACAGGGACAGACTATAGTAGCTACGAAGCCAGAATAAGCACATCAATATCTACTAGATCCGAGGGGGCTATCAAATATTAGAAGCTTGTTGCCTTCATGCTTATCCACTGGATCCCTGGGAAATGCACACTTTAGCGAGACAATGTGGATCTAAAATTTTGAAGGAAAAGTATACGAAATTGTCTAAATAATTCAACACATAAAAACAGTAGCCAATTATTTAAATTGAGACTTTAGTGTAAAACATTACGTATGGAAGCTGATCTTCAATTTTAATTTTTCCACCCACCTATGTATCTATATGCATGACATTGCTTTAGCGACTTGGTAATGACCAGGCCAGCAACATGTGTCCACCAATACTTGTTGACAGTTGTTAGCCTTTGGGTATATTTGGATTCAACCATGTTGAAAGAGAGGGAAATGCAGGGGGAAGTGGGGGAGTGAGAATCCCTGGCCGACAACACAATTTTGTATGATTGTCTTTTGTTCAAAAGCTTCATTGCTACCAGCTGTAAAGCTTCCTCGATTTTATGGAAAAGGAATTGAGGCTTAAAGATAAAGTGTTACAGGTAAGAAAGTGGTAGAATAAATTGACCAGATGTTCCTACACATTTTTCATCCTATTTCAGATTTTTCAAACAAAAAAATCAATTTTCAAATGACCATTTGTGATGTTATTTCTGAACATGCTTAACAATAACTTTCAAATTCTGAATACATTTTTTCCTTTCCGAAGTAACATATTTATATTGTAATGATACATTTGCTTCTTTCATATTTTTCCTACAGTAATAATTTAATTTTTAAATAATTTCTTCCTAAGGAAGAATATTTTTCTTTGTTTAAGGTTTATTTATTTATACAAGAACTGGGGTATAGGCCAGAGGCACAGGAGGGTGAGAGGATTCACCGGATACACAGTGGGAAGCAGAACAGGCAGACTGACTGAAATACACTGTTGAGCGGAGCAGCGGGGAGATAGCAGAGGTCTGCCCCGCCATGTGGGAATCTCCCTGGCCGGCCGGGAAATGAACCAGCGCTGAGGAGGCTGCGGACAGCTTCACAGTGCTGCACTCAACGGCCTGTGCCACCAGGGAGGCCTGGAAGAATATTTTTCAATAGTGGACTATGAAACAGCCGTTTAGATACGCTATTCCATTTGGCACGTGGACCTCTGGCCTTTAACTCAGCTATTTTTCTTTCCTTTCTTTTTTTTTTTTTAAGATTTATTTATTTATTTATGCATACAAGAACTGGGGTATAAGCCAGAGGTACAGGGGGTGAGAGGATTCACTAGAGAGTGGGGAACAGAACAGGCAGATGTACTGAGTCCACTGCTGAGGGGAGCAGCGGGCGAGCCAGGAGAGGTCTGCTGTGCCATGTGGGTCAGCTCCCTGGCCGGGGATGGAACTCATTCTGCACTGGCTGGCAACAGCTTGATAGCTCTGTCTTTAACCCCTGTGCCCCCAGGGAGGTCCCTATGTTATTTTTCATAATTCATGCTGAAGAGTTTATCAGTATAATAACGACAAAGAGGCAAAAACAAAGGGAAACTGTCAGACGAGTTGTGGCAAGCTCAATAATGCTCCCCCAAGTCCTCACTATTCCCAGAGCTTGTTACTCTATATGGCAAAAGGGAACTTCAGAGATGTGATTAAATTAAGGGTTTCATGATGGGGAGATTGATCTGGATCACCCAGGTGTGGCCAGTATAACCCAAAGTCCTGATCAGAGAGAGGCAGGACACCATGGACAAGGGGAAGTGACAAGAGCAGAGAAAGATGTGGAGGCGTGACCTTGCTCGTGCTGAATAAGAAGCTCCGAGTCAAAGAAAATCAGGGGGGACCGCTCCAGACACGTGGGAAGGTGAGGAAGTGTGTTCTTCCTGGGAGTCTTCCCAGAGAAAGGGGCCTGCTGACCCCCTGGTTTCAGCCCAATGAAACCCATTTTAGATCATAAGTTTGTGTAGTTTTAATCACTGTATTTGTGGTAACCCGTTATCACAGCACTAGGAAATGCACATGGCCGTTTCTACGTGGTGGCTGATGTCGGGGGTCACCAGAACTCTGTAGCCGCCCAGTGCGCTGTGAGGGTGTGGAAACACAGCATGGGAAACACAGCGAGACATCTGAGGTTGGGAAGCAACAGCCTTCAACAGAGTCCTCAACCTCACAACTTACGAGTCAGAATTTTCTGAGAAGTAGGTGAAGAGCAAGTTTTGTAATTATCTACATTGTAGACATTACCGTAGGATGATAAACATGTCTCAAAGTGAAAGCTTACTGATGACGAGGTTAACAGAACAGCACTAGATACTTAACATTCAGGGTCAAGCTGATGTTGAAGTTTTTTGTTTTTTGGGGTTTTTTTTTTTTTTTGGCACTGGCTACAATTTTATCACATCTCCTGAAGAACAAAATTTAGGAATAGAAATAGTCAATGCTGGTCAACAGAGTTAAGTCATATGTGAAGTAGCATTGACTGAAGTAAGACTGACATTTGGATCAGCCC